GGCAGAAATGGAATCGAGCAAAAAATATCGAATTTGAAGGGAATATATGCAAAATGGAAAGGAATATAAACGATGTGACAGTGCGTTATGAAATCTATTCTGCGAGAGCAAAGGGGGTGGGGGGAAGAGAGGAGGGGGAAGAGAGGGGTATGAATAAAACCACCCTAGAGAGCGGATTTGGAGCGAGCAAATTCAACAAGTGGAGAACTGGTGGAAAAGAAATTTTCTGTGCAAGATCTCGATCTCCAGAAATTAGCAGAGATGGAGGAGAGTAAGGGGTGGAGAAAGAGAGAAACTCAAATTGGATACGCGTCCGCGGACGAGTGATAGTATAGAGGCAACCGGGGCAGAAATTTTTGCAGCGATGGGCTCGCAGCTTTGAGATTTATGTGCATGTTTATCTGGGGGGCATTATTATATATATTCAAAGGTCAAAAAAATATGCTTTCTGAGGTTTTTGATCGATCGAATGAATCCCCCACATGGGCTGAATGGGTCACTCGTCGTGAAAAAGAAAAGAAATAAAAACTATAACTGTCGGGCATCGCCATCTGCTGAAACTAGAAAATTCAATATTTATTCAGAATTTGGCGACAAGATGCGCCGTTCGTTCTGAGTTGCTCAGAATGTCAATTCGAAGATAAATTTTTAAAATTAAATAAATATTAAATATTTTCGTGGCCCTTCGCTCATACAGAAAAAAAAAGAGCCTACTAAGCTTTGTGTATCGAGATATATCAAAGAGAGAAGAAGGGAACGACCCTTGGCATTTTGCATTTTGGGTGATTCCAGGATGATAAACGGGTTCAGGCTATCGCACAACGCGCTGATGATTTAAGCTTGCCCTCCCCTTCTCTTCCCCCTCCCCCCCAACGCACATGATGCCCACTCACTTGCGAAAAACTGTAATGAGATTACACAAATACACATTTGACACTACTAGTACACGAGGCGAACTAGGGGGGAGGCGAGAGGGAGGCGAGAGAGGGAGAGGCAAATACAGTTACCTTTACTCGAAACACCCCACCAAAGCCCAACACGTTTTCCTGCAATGAATACGGTGATATGAGCGTCAGTGAGAAGGTAAACCGGGTCTTGCCTCTCCACTCACCGGATCAGACAAAACAGCGATCTCCCCTATTCACCTCTTCCCCATCATATCAATCGTTATCTAATATATGGCGCCCCCTAAAACGCTAATTGCCAGATGGCAGCCACGCATGCAGCCTGACCTGACCTGCCGTGACTGCTGCCTGCTGCTCCTGCTTGCTTGCTTGCTGCTCGCCAAAAAAGCTATGAATGTGTCAGGGTCTCCCCCACCTCCGAAACTGCACCCACCAACAGCACGCAGTACCACTATCATTACTATGATAATGACGGCAGTAATACCACCAGAAGACGGTACACCTGCGAGTATGAATTGAGCGAGAGGCTAACGCCGCCCAGCAAAACGTAAGGAGGATGCAACATGCGGAGGTCCTTGGAACTCACTCTGTCATGATGCGTGGGCCCAACCGAACCCAAGCCTGGTATGATGAAGCAAGTTCCCAACTTCTGCAAACCGAGTTCTATTTCATCATCAGAGCGACACCGCTCTTCCTAAATCCATCCCTCCCGTATAGTTCGTTTTTCTGTGATGGGATGCCTTTCTCTTCCAGCCCTTCCAAAATGTCTCGCGGCACGTTTCAAGCTGCTAGATCCGTCAGGACCCAACGGAAACAGCACACACCGAAGAACTCGGACTCGTACATGGTCCGAATAGTCATCCCACCACTGACTCTATCACAATTAGCACCGACCCGACAGAATGTGGGTTTGCCGCCGAGCAGGCCTGTTGGTCGGAATTGAAGGGAGATGGTCGAGTCGAGAAGATAGATCGAGAGACAGACAACGAGGCGTCTCCTCAGGGCAGACTCGTTTTCGCCCGATGTTGAATGCAAAATAGTAGTAGTCCAGTTTCTCGTTATATTATCATATGATCTCACCCCTTTGCCCACTATCAGCACCGGAAAAAATTCGAGAGCTCGTGGCTGCCGTCCAACGTGATCATCTGAGAGGTGAGGCATTCAGCTACCTGGCATATGATAACACAATTATAGCCAAACTCAGCTAGAACACATACCGCCTCCAAAATTATATATCCTTTATGGATTTGGGAACCTGCGGATGACCAAGCCCCACTGCATCTACCGCTGCCCAATCCCTGTCCCTGCCAGGTTTCGATCGATATCTCACCCAGGGGCTGGTCTAGCTAGGGGAAGCTAATAGGGGCCTGCGAGTGAGTGGTGAGATGCGATGAAAAGGCCCCGATGAAATCGAGGGTGTGTAGATCCAAGGGTCGTCGATTTTAGGATTATTGCAATAAGTGTTTAACCCGTGGTTAATAGCTCCTCCTGCTGGTATACTAGTTTGTACCCGCTGTCGCGGCGGCGCGTGTCCCCTCTCTCGTGCCCAGGCATTAGGATTTCTCGGAGAGGTGTTTAATTAGATGTCGACAGATTCTATTTTGCCATATAACTCGATTAATAACTGGGGCCCATACCGCTAGTCCAAATGGGGGATAGCACCAGATCCAACATAGATCCCCACAACGAATGCATTCGCAGTTCTTCCATGTATCCGATTGGCATATATGGCAACCATCGATTTTTTATTCGTTTCCCAGAATATACCTCGCTCGCCGTTTTCAGCGAGCCGAGTTAAACTATGCACGATTCAGTTCTATCAAATGATCCACAGAGGTATCGCCGTCGGCGTCGTGACCATGGGTTCAGTTGGCTACGAAGCCACACAAGCCACAATCATTATTATTCTCGGGTCTCGTCCACGCTCTCTGCGTAACCCCTAAATTCCCGCTTTCTCAATGTCTCTCCGGGCAGCGGCGGCGTTGCACTCGCGTTGCGCATATGGTGCGGTCGCTGCGCCCCCGTGGTTCAGTTTGCGTTTGTATAACCCAAACAAAACCTTCCGCTTTCGTGGGCTCAATGCGGACATATCGTGCAGAAATCAGAGTATTCTATATCATTTCATGACTATTATCATACTTATGGCCATGGGGGAGAGGTTAAGGGAGGGCAAACAGGCAAAAAGGGAGGGGAAAGGGTACATCAAGGTAGCAATAGAAACGACAGACAGACATATCCCTTAGGTTTCCTCCCTCCCCTTTAGTCCATCGTCATATATACGAAAATTTGAGAGAGAGAGAGAAAGGAGAGACAGAGCAGCCGCACAAAAGCCCCGCAGCGAAAGAGAGATAGCAACAAGCCTCTTCGGTCGTGAGAGAACCAAAGCGTGCTGCAGCAAGTTTCCCAGCCATTGCTTTAGCTAAATACAGCATATTTCTTCATTGTGTATCGCGATCAACACCCACACATGCACACACTCAAGCACGTTGCGCCAACAGGCCTTCTTGCCGTATTTCTCAGCAAAAATCATTTACTACCACGCGAGTACCATGAGTTCGACGCCTATACCGGGCTCGGTAATGAAAACTCACCAAGAAGTAATCGGGCACGCGGCGGGATACCATTGGTTCTCCTGCCCGCGGTGCAGGATCAAATTGTAAGCTGTTGCCACCCAAAAATAGTCCGCATGGAGATCCGGTGCAGATATAGGCCCACAAGAGAAGAGTTCCCCAATACGCCGCGGCGACGTGGGCCCGTTCAC